AGGTAAAATGTGCAAAAAAAAGATCAAGATTTTCATTGTTTTGATTCATTTTTTGGACTCTGGAACAAAACATGTAATTTTGTATGTATTCTTTGCCTCGATTTGAATAGATTCGATTTGAATAGAAATTTTTTGGAACAAAACAACTACTCAAATCGAGGACCCCCAGTATCCATAACATAATATCAAGTCACATAAATTATTATGAATATGCATATAACTTTATCTGATTAATTATATACAAATTTGTCGCCTGTTTAGGTCACGAAAAACTGCTATGAAGCTGCGTACATTTTATGTATATGTGACAATCACCACAACATGTCGTATTATAATTTGTCAATTAATGAGAAATAATTTCGAAACTTTTTTACTTCAACATTTATACTATTTTATATATGGAATGATTAGCTTAAAATAAGAGGTGTCAATGACGTACCGAGTTATTGAACAAGTAAAGTCTTTGATCGCATTAAAGGGCTAAATTGACCTTGAACGAAACATGACTTTAAAAATAACAAGAATGTTTTTCTTTATTGTTTATGAATAATTTTATGAGCTTTTTTTGGGAGAAATCAATGCAGTGAGTCATGAAGATCTGTCAATGATGCTGCATTGATGATGATTGGTACTTTTGAGATGATTTTGTGACAAGGATGGTTTCGACAATGTAATGAGTCATGACTTAAATTTTTAAAATAATGAATTGGCTTATCTGTCATATTTTTGATTTTTTTGGGATCACTCATTGAAGACAGAACCTTAACCTTAACTAGGGGCAAAGCCAAAAACTTCAGATGAGTAATTTCAAACTATTAATATAAGAAATTGGGTTATGGAATTTCTTCAATTGTATCAATTAATTTAAAAAAAAAACTAATCAACCTAGACCATTGACTGAAAGACCATAAACTTACCCAGATAATTCCCAACATTACAAATCCAACTATTCAATTTACTTTATACCATAAAAAAATATTTAAACAAAAAGCAGCAATCCACAAAATACAATGAAACCAATTTCATCACAAAACAGACTCCCTAAAAGCAAATTCAACAAGCATTCCAGCACTTCATCATCAAAGCAGCACCATCCAATTGTTGTAATTCTTTCCACAAACTATTTACTTTTTTGTTATTTTATTTCGTGTGCCTCCATTAAGTCATAGATATTTTTATATGTATTTCAATTATGAAAGATGTTTTCTGGTGCGCAATGCACGGGCCCATCCCGACTTCATCATTATAAATTCACAAAATATAATAATGAAAAAAAAAATCAAATCATCTATTAGAGATTAATTCATGACCTTCATGTCGTTACTTCGTACGGCATTCCAATTGAAACATTCCAAACATACATTATTCCTCCTCTTTTTTTGATGTCAGTGACAGATGAAAAGCGCCAGATAAATTCTCGTGGATGGATTTAAGAATCCATTTATCATCCTTTTTTATTGTTAACAATTTTTTGTATAATAAAAAGGTTAAAATTAGATTTTGTACTATGCCAATTTCCTCACTTTACTATTTTGCTGTTCATTTCTTATTGTTAATTGCTTACTTAAAACTGTGTGCCAGACAGGAAAGAAGAATATGATTGAATATATATAATAGTTACTTAACAACTTGTTTAAGAATTAAAACTTTTTCGGACGATTAGCTTATTCGGATAAAAAGCGGAGCTCTATTGTGATTGAGGAGAAGTTAAAGAAAAAGTTAATAAAAGACTCAAATACAAGGGTCAATTGAAGGCATTAAATTCAATTCAATCAAATGATGGAAAAAAAGTATTAGAAAAAATCCACAAACCCAGAACTACCAACCATCACAAAAAAAAATTTCAAAAACAAACAATCCGAATGATGGAATCAATATTAACAAGAATAATGTCTTCCGTAGTCCTTTACAGCTGTATTGTAGTCTTAATTACATCAATTATAAGAATCACATTTCGCAATTGCTACCTGAACGATGTTTTTAGAAGCTGCAACTACGATCAATTGTTATTGTCAGTCATTATGCATACACTATCGAGTTAATGGGAGATTAAAATTCTTTTTCAAAAACATCATCGAGTTGATTGACTCAGATGTAGAAGTTAAAGAACTAATGAATTGTCGTAATTGTTTGTGGTTTTTGGGATGTTTTGTGAAAAGATTTAATAATAGACAATTTTAAAGTTCATTAAACGGTCTTGGATGCCTTAGGGACGTTATCATGAATTGCATAGAAATAAAGGAAATAAATGTAAATTACTTTTTGAAGTTGGTGAGATATTTTAGGTACTTAAAATTGTTATAAAGTCATTAATCAAAGGGCATGAAAAGTCATTAAGCAGTAAGTTTATTGCAAAACCTTTAAATCGCCTCAGGCACAAATAAAATGTTACTTAAGTTTTCATCTTCATCAATTACAAATAAAATGAATCTTCTGGACAACCCCAAGATGAATTTAAATATTGATTGACTTGATTAAGTCATTTAAAGATCAAAAATCAAATGATTGATTCTGATTGGATGTGTTAATCCTTCTATTAAATTTAATAATGCTCGATTGAGAAACTTTAGCGGTAGCTGTAAAAAATATTGTTCTATTGTAAACTCATTAATCTTAATTGAAAGAATCCAAAATTTATAATTTTAAAGATCATTTAATTTCTGTTTTAGTTTATTTTTCAATCCCAAATTTACTGGAATACCTAAAACCAGATCTAATTAAGTAATTCAGTTATAAACTTTTACCATTCATCCATAAACGTTCACTTTCATTCGAATACATTGTTTTTATTTTCCTTGTTTTTTTCATCTTCAATTCAAAGAAAAAAGTTATTCAATTGTATTATTCATCATGACCTTGACATCGTGCTTGATGTGGGAAACCAAAAGCCGAAGACGAGAAAAAAGCAGACAAAAATAATATCAGTGAAATAAAGTCTTAATGGATGGGAGAAAGCAAGAGAAATGATTTGACATTGAAAATGAAAACAAAATTGAATCTGAGTGAAATTGAAGTTCATTATGTTAGTGGGTTAACACAGATCATGAAAAGATTACTTTATGGCTATATTTGGAATGATGAAAAAGAAAAAAGATTTAAGGCATGCTTTGGATTTAGTTAAATATCTATTCACATAAAAGTTGAAATTATCCAAACGCTTACTAGTTTAGACTTCCTTAGCAATGCAAAGCTGGTTCTTATCATAGACTGAAGATCTTTAAAAACCTTTAGCTTCTATACTGTCCCTCTGGTTTGTATCTGATACATTCATTCATTCCAATCACATCCACACTTGTATTATCCCTGAACTTTAAATTTACAGTTTTAAATTGCAATAATTCATGGTCGAAAAAATTCAGCAAGTAGAATAATTATCGAAACAAAAATTTTTGATGAGCCTTACTCTATGACTAAACGGTTTATAGACATGTAGCTTAGAAAGATTATATTAAGCACCTACTTTTTAGACTGCATTAAAGGTGACTCCAGAAAATAAGTTTATTTGATCCTGACTTCTGGTTATAGATGTTGATTTTCTCAAAAGATTGGGGTTTGTTTCAACTTATGCTGTGCAGTATTACTCAGCCTCCTATCACCCAAAATGCATACCACATTATCATCTTAAATACTTTTACAAGCACAATGCGATGACACAGATAAGCAAATAGCGGACACTAGAATAAAATGACATTAAAGATCAAACTTTTAATTACATTGCACACATAATCATGAATCACATTTAGAAGTCACATTGCAAAGGCACAAATGTCAGCTTAATACATAAAAACATCTCCTCATATTCTTTGTTACATTGGCCATGCAGACGCGGCTGCACAACAAAGTATAAAATTTTTCCTACGTGTTGTAATGACGCTTCTCATTCATGTACTAATTGTCGTCATTTAAATTACTTAAATAATGAAGATGATGATGATGATCTCGACAGATGCAGTAACTTAAATTAAAAGTTTTAATTTTTCTCTGCAATTGCTTGGTCTGCAATTTTCTTATTATTTTTTCTCTTGTTAAGTTATGCGATAAATGAGTGAAGATAATCTTTAAAGTGGTGATTTAACGCTATTTACAACAGATTTATACGGCACTAAAAAGAAATTTTGTTGGATGATAAAAAAGGAAAAAGGAAGCAACTCCCATTTGAATTCAGATCGATAAAGCCATTTTCCCACTCCTTTATTGCAGCAATTATTCTCAAATGTTTTACTGCAATTATTAATATCCGCATAATATCGACTAAAATGTTTTAAATAATAAAGTAATGAAATGCTTATTTTTCAGTCGAATGTTCGATTTCAAGACAGTTAAGAGTTCGATACTGTTGGTTGAATCGAAAATCCATGCACTACACTATGAGGTTAAAAATATAAAATGTGCAAAAATTGCTTTTAATAATTCAAAGCATTAAGTGGCGACAGTAATAAATTTTTAATAAAAAAAACAAACTCGCGTATTTATCGAACAAATTCGCAATATTCAGTAATATTCAGGATCTAGTCTAAGAACGACTTATTTGAATAATGCAGAATTTTATTGACAGAATAGCTAAAAGTTATCAAAAACTTGTGCAAAGTTTTATATTAAAGTTTAAAAGAAGTGAAGAAATTCAGCAGTATATTAGGTTCCGTGATTTCTTTATTTGCGAGAAAACTGCCAATAAATTAGGGTTTACTTTTCTCCATGGTCAAGAAACTTCATTTAGTAAATGGGTTAAAATAAATAGTTTTCTTTTTCAAACCATGCTTGCTATTCTTTTGATTTCTGAGCTCTTTTCCTTTACTTTATCAATTCAGACTTATGATTTAGATATCATGATTGATAATGCGTTATTTTTCGGTTTGATTTTCATCATTTTGGTGAAAATTTTCATTATCTTCTACCACAATCGAACGGATATTCAAGAAGTCATTGAAAAGTTATATGAGCACTTTCCACACTCTGGAGTTGACCAGTGCATTTTTAAGGTTCACAAGTATTTAAAAGTCATGACACGAATCGAGAAATTCTATTACATCTTGTGTGGAATATTTACTGCTCAATTTTGCTTGATGCCATTAGTGTTTCAGCTTTATGCTAGATATACGAGAGTTGATATGGATTGGGGACATATTTACTCATTAAATATGCCATTTGATCAAACCCAGCCAGTTGTGTATGAAATGATTTATATTGCTGAATTCTGGATAACAATTTATTCAGTGTCCTTTGCTATATGCACTGATTTACTGTTTGCATGTTTAATGCAAATTTTAGTTATGGAATTTAAAATTTTGGGACAAATAATGAGTGAAATTGACGAAGCTGTAGCTGAAAAGGAAGAAGAAGCTATGAAGGAATTAAAAAAGCTTATTGGCATCCATCAACAATTAATTGAAGTCTCGGAAAAGCTTGAAAAAACATTTTCACCATTGCTTCTCATAAATGCTTTTGGCTCAATCGTGTCCTTATGCACTGCATGCTTTTTATCTGTAGTTAATACAAATTTTTGATTTCTTAAAAAAAATATTTTAAAATAATTTTTAATAATATTTCTAGTCAGGAATAGGAAACTACTTCATCGCAAAATATTTCATATTTCCATTTGCTATCTCAGTACAGATTTTTACTCAGTGTTATTTCTCACAGGAATTGATAGAGTAAGTATATTATTTGATATCATAAAATTTTAATAAATTCTTTCTCTATAAAACTAGCTCATCAGCATCGATTTCCACATCAGCTTACAGCACTGAATGGTACTTACATAACATGAAGTTTAAACAACTCGTCCTTCAAGTCATAGCTCGTGCTCAAAAGGCCCAAACAGTTACTGCATATAAATTCTTTGATATGTCTTTGGAAACATTTAATTGGGTAGCTAATGAGTTAAAATATTTGATTTTCCTTTTATTCAAACTTTGAACTTTAATAGATCATCAACACATCATATTCATTAGGGTTTCTGAAAAACGGCATTTTTAAAAAACGGCCGTTTCCGTTTTTTTCCAAAAAACGGCCGTTAACGGGTCCGTTTTTTTAATTCTACCGAAATTGTGTTTTATGCACGGTTTTAGTCACATACTGAAATTGATGTCAAAAAAAAACGAACTTATTACAGTGTATTGTGTATAAAAAAACTTTTATTCACACCCTGTTTTTTCGTTGTAAGCTACTACTCGTTACTAAGCTACTAGCTTAGTAAAGTTTTTTGAATTTGAAAATTTTTTGTAATCTTTACTAAGCTACTACCAAAAATAAAGTTTAATTAATCTTTTTCAACTTTCTAAGTATGAGTTTCAATGCCTAATGACATTGTCAATGAAATAAAATCGAGAAGATGGCAAAATTTCTTTAATTAAGCTAAAAAATTCAAAAAATTTCATATAAGTTCAATTTCTTTACTAAGCTACTAGTGAGCCAAAAAAATCACTTTTTTATTCTCCTAAGCGATAAGCTAGCTTATAACAAAAAAACAGGATACTTCAAACTTTAAAAATATTTAAACATCAAGTAGTCGTTACAAAACTTAACAACTTAAATTTAATGAGTATGAAAGAATTGTTGGAGTTAATATTATTTTATTCTGAACCTAAAATTTTCACGAGCTAGAAAAGAAACACGGAAAAAACGGCTAGAAAAAAACAGCCGTTTTCCGTTTTTATTTTTTTCTGAAAAACGGCTGTTTTTCCGTTTCCGTTAACGGCTTCAGAAACCCTATATTCATACTACTCGGTCCTTAAGGGAGTTTATGAATTCTGAAATATCAAAATGCTTGCAAATTTAAAATGTTGTCTTTTTGGCTTATGATTAATAAAAAAAGCTACTCAATTGCATCGAACATTAAGTTGATTTGTTATCATTTCTTAATGAACGAAAAAATTATCAAACGATTTGCATAATAGTCTCTCTTAAAAATTCAAAACGTCCTTTCTGTCAATTACATTTTGATCACTTTGATTAAAATCATTGATCGTAATCGTGATCGATAAAACATAAGTTATGACAGCAAAAGTGCGTTTCAAACAGAAACTAGCAGCAAAAAATAATATATGCTTTGAACTGAATAATCCGACAAACACTAGCTTAATATATCTTAAATTAATAAATTACTTATACCTTTTCGAGGTGTCATGTAAGAATGACTTCTATTTTTTTCGAAAAATTTTCACAGTTCTACTGGGAAAAGTCACATGTGTTTCATGCATTTTGAACGATGCAAAAAGCATGCAATGAATTGAAATCTCTTCCAAAACCAATCAATACATGAAACATTATTTGTTAAGGACTTGGTCGTTTGACTTGTCAAATGTTTTTTTTTTTCATATATGCTGGACTATTTACTACTTAAGCAATTAAATTAGAAAAACTACCCGTTACCCCTACACACCAAAAAAGTTCCATTTTCATCAATGGAAAACAACATCTACTTATAACTTTACGAAAACTTCATTTCAGGATCCCAAAATTAGTTAAATGAATGATTCTGATGAAAAACATTATTCTTAACCGTTAAAATTCAATTTTGTGTTTACAACATTCATTAAGATCGTTGAAAAATCATTAATTACGGACATATGTAAGCCTAAAACATGATTATTAAAATGAGAAAAAAATTTTGTTTGCATTTCAAATGGAATGAAATTTAATGGAACTTTTTTTGCCGCCAAGCCCTTAAAAAAATTACAAAAAAGTGAGAAATCGAACTTGTTTCCGTATATAAAGAAACCAGTTGATTGCAATTGCTCGAATTGAGTAGAATTAAAATAAAAATTCAACCGGTTCTTAAAAGAGTTGTCGTTAGTTTTCATAAACTTTCAAAGCCTTTAAAATTAAAGCTTTCAATGAATCAACAAAGCTCTCATTGCATCTTGTTTCGTGATTTTCTCCGATGTGAGACGACATCAAAGTTGATCGGATTTTCATTTTTTACGAAACATGACATTTGGTCAAATAAATGGAAGAAGTTAAACTGGTTTATGTATCCGATTGTCCTAATAGTGCTCTTGATTTTAGAAGTTATCTCATTTATCATATCAGTAAAGAATAATTTGATGGTTCAAATGATTGATAATATATTCTGTATTGGACTTCTTTTCATCATATTGTTCAAAATCTACTTTTTATTTTATCGCAATCGAGCAAACATATTTGAAGTTATAGAGGAGTTAGATAAGCATTTTCCTCATTCTGGTGTTGACCAACTTACCTTTAAGGCTCAAAAATATTTCATGGATCTCAAGATTGTCGAAACTGTTTATTATGTCACGTTTACAATAATAACCATTCAGTTTTGCTCGATGCCATTCCTTCATCAGATTTATGCAAGAATACAATCAATCGATATAGAATGGGAACTGATTTTGCCCGTATATCTCCCATTTGATGAACTGCAGCCGATCGTATATTATATTATATTAATTATTGATATCTGGCTTATTATTTCTTCGTTGGTTTGGATTGCTTGTACAGATCTTTTATTCGCAAGCTTAATGCAAGTTCTAATAATGGAGTTTGATATCCTCGGTCAATTAATCAGTGATATTGATATGACTTATGAGATAGATGCTATTAAGGAACTCAAGAAGATTGTTGACATTCATCAAGAACTGATTATAATTTCTGAAAAGTTGGAAGAAATATTTGCACCACTAGAGTTTATCAATGCTTTTGGATCAATCACTGCATTATGTACTGCTGCTTTTCTCGCAGCTGTAAGTGAATCATGTAAAAGATCACTAATCCTTGACATTTTATTTTTCATACTTTTAGTCAAAAATTAGTGGATATTTCGTCGTGAAATATTGGACGTTTCCATTAGGCGTACCCATGCAAATTTTTAATCAGTGCTATTTCACTCAACTGTTGATAGAGTATGAAATCTATTATTACATCAACATTTTTAAAAAAAAAACCTTTTTTTAATATAGCTCTTCGAAATCGATTTCTGAATCAGTTTACGGTATCGATTGGTCCTCAAAAAGTGTACATTTACAAAGATTTCTGATTCAAATTATGATCCGTTCTCAAAAACATCAAACAATAACAGCATGTATGTTTTTCGAAATGTCTCTAGAAAATTTTGCATTGGTAAGTTAAAAGTTTTGCTAAATATGTTAAAAATTTATACAAATACTTCCTTTCCAGATCATTTCCACCTCGTATTCATATTTTTCTGTTTTGCAAGCTACATATGAATAGATTTTTACTTTTGTAAAACTTTTTACCTTTTTACCCATTTCAAAAATTCTTTTATGACACATCAATGTAAAATTAATTTTTAAAAATCAATATGAGTTTAGATTATTAACGAATCAATAAGGTGTGAAATGACCATTGACGCATGTCACTTTTTATTGCATTTGAAATGATTTTGAGTTGCATTGCCTTAAAAAAACACATCAATCAGTTTTATAAAATATTCTAACCGAGAAAGATCGACAAAATTAAAAAAGAAGAAAATATATTCTCAAAGCTAGGTTGGGTCTTTTGAGCATCAGAAATGAGAGAAATCGCAAAAAAAATCTCAATAAAGTTTCATGGTTTTAAGAATTTTCTGAATACTGAATTTTGGCAAGGACGCAGAAACCCAACCTTCGTTTCATTTCAAGAATTCTTTACATGTGAGGCTACAGCTCACAAAATTGGGTACACATTTTTGAATAATCATGAAAATCCACCAAACAAGTGGATAAAGCTGAATGGCATTTTATTACAAGTATTCATGTTGATTCTCTTAGTTTTGGAGCTAATTTCTTTTGTAATTTCATTCCGAAATAAGTCACTTAACATTATGATTGAAAACATCATGTTTGGTGGATTATTTGTACTGTCGTTGGTCCAAATGTATGTTGTCTTCTATCGGAATCAGTTCAAAATCATTGAGATTGTAGAAAAGCTGGAAAAGCACTTTCCAAATTCTGGATTTGATCAACTTACTTTTGATGTTCAAAAATATTTGAAAACTACTAAATGGCATGAAAAAGGATATTATTTCATAACTACTTTAGTAATCCTCCATTTTACAATGATGCCGTTTATTCATCAGATTTATGGGATTGTTACATCAACCAGTGTTGAATTGGAGTTGATTCTTTCTTTATATTTGCCATTTGATTATTTGCAACCTTTGTTATACGGATTTATATACTTTATACAATTATGGATCATCGTTTTTGTGACATTCTATTACATCTGCACTGATATGATCTTTGCAAATTTAACACAAATTTTATGTTTGGAATTAGACATTCTTGGACAAAATATGGACGAAATTGATCCTGCTGATGACGAAGAAGTAGCTATGAAAGAACTGAAGAAACTTGTCTACATCCATCAACAACTTATTGAAGCGTCGGAAAATTTAAATGAAGTTTTTTCTCCGTTGCAGCTCATCAATGCTTTTGGATCAATTGCAGCTCTATGTACTGCAATTTTTTTAGTCATGGTAAATTTATTATGTAATTTTTTGTCTTTTAAGACTTCAATTATTTTCAAATGAAACAAATTTTTTTTATTTTTGTTAAAATAATGTTCTTAGTCTGGAATCAGCAACTACTTCATCGCTAAATATTTCTTGTTGCCAATAGTAATAAGTGTACAAATATTGACCCAATGCTATTTTTCTCAGCGTCTAATCGAGTAAGTAAATTTAGTTTCAACATTTTTATAAATATTAATTGAGCTTTTAATCAGTTCATCAACATCAATATCTGCATCTGCTTACAATATCAAATGGTATTCGGGAAGTATAAAATTTCAACGTTTAGTGCTTCAAATTATGGTAAGAGCTCAAAAACCACAGACTATAACAGCCTGGAAATTTTTCGACATGTCCTTAGAGACTTTTCAATGGGTAATTTTCTTTTAAATTGATTGCAGTGACAAAGTTATAAACTAGTCGCTTCTTGACATTACACATAAAACAACATAAGATTAATCTATTTTCTTTACAGATTGTCAATACATCATATTCTTATTTCTCAGTGTTACAAGGAACATATGGATCGTAAATAAAAAAAAAATAATTCGTTTGCATATTTTTGTCAATTGCTATTTTGGTGTCATTTTAAATTAAATTTGTAAGCTTAAAAATTTAAACTAGGTTGATAGCAAAAACCACAATATGCATCTAGTTTTTAAATATTTCATTAATCAATTGATGTTATTGTTTTTAAAAATGCAAAAGTACGCCACAGACCTAAAATCAAGTTGTTAATAATTTACAGTATTTAAAATCAATATTATTTTATCAGCCTATGCCACTAAATAGTATTCGACTAGTGTAAAATTCCAGCAACAAATTCTAATTTGATTCTGATAATAACTGTTCAAGCTTAAAAGAAGTAAACCATAACAGGATTCAAGTTCTTCAATATGTCACTAGAAACCTTTATTTAGGTAATTTCGATATTATTTATGCTCATGTCCTTTAAAAGAATATTTCTTTATTATATGTTTCATATTCCTAAGTTTAGCATTTATTGATTCTTATGTAGAAGATCAATAACACATTTGCAATGTGAATTATGAATTAAGTAATTTCAAAACACGCTCTTAACAGCAAATGAAAAATATCCATAAATGCTTCTGTTTGTAAAGTCGCATTGGATTCGAGCCTATCTGCGTGATGAGCATATATAAATTCATAAATGATTGGCATTTCAACTGTCTGCATGTTCTGCTGTTAAAATTTTTATAATACAAGTAGATACATAGATTGTAATTATTGAGTAACACTAGAAGGATATCATAGTAACGGCTATAAATGTTAATGTGATGTAATTTGATATGCGAATAAAATTAAATTAAATAAATATGAGGACGTCGTTTAATTGAATATTTTTATATGCAGACATTTATGATTGAAAAGTGGAATGCAAGTTTTGATTTTGCCAGGGACCATTGCTTGAGTTTTATTTCTATATTAATGAATTAATTAGTCAATGACTTTTTAGAAAAATTATTTTTTGAAATATTAATTAATTCAAAAATTGAAATGTCGTGAGAATTAAACTTAAACTTTCAAATGGAGTCATTTCTGGTAGGCTGAAACGCATCAATCATTTAATGACCGCACTTAATAAAATGATGGAATTTTATGATAATGAAAGAGACTTTTATCGCTTCCTTAATTATAATAGAAACATTAATATCTTAATAGAAAATTTATTAATGCAATTGTGAGTCATGTAATTAAATATCTATCTTATGTCTATTCATCAGTATGATTGTTTCTTTACATTTAGGAGTGATTTTCAGAGAAGTTGGTGAATCCTTTCAATGTTAGAATTCTGATTTATTTAAAATCTTAAGAACCAAACCAAAGTTGATTGACCATTGAACTTCATTGGAACTGTCTATCTTTCCTTAAATTCTTTTCAAACTTTTAAACAATAACTGTGCATGAGTAATTAGCTAATACAGTTGACTTTAATTATATTTGTAATCAAAAGTAGTAATTAAAGTCAATTTAATGCGAATTCCGCATTTTAATACCCAGTTGCGTTTGAATCCGCGTATGGTTTAACGCACGCTTAAATGATTTATATTGATTAAAATCTATAAAAGGTGTTTAAAATATTATGCAGTGTATTCTTAAATTTATCTTGAAGACATAAATTGTCGTTATAACCACCCAACTTAGACCCAGCACAGACTAGAAATTTACTCCTTAATTAAGATATTTACAACTATTGCCTGATCATAACACAAAATATTATTAAAATAAACTCAATGAAACAACATGTTTTGAAATTCAAATGAGACAGTAAGTAGATTTTAATGGAATGATAATGTCGTTAAGCTAATCTTCATATTTAATCTTCATAACTCATATTTTCAATAGAAATCTTTTGCAACGTATGTAAATTTTTTTATTTCGATGCGATTTGTGAGGAAGAATTCTATACAAATTGAGATGATTTTTATCGATGATATTTTCATAATAAAACTTTATGAATGAAGTTATTTCTATTGGATTAAACTGTAAAAAGTTCACCAATAACACCTTTTTTGCAGATGGAGTTTCATATTTTTAGAAGGTTTAAATATTTTGATATCATAATATTTATAAATTTATTTTTTCTTCTTCTTATGCCACTTCTTCAAAATTTAAAGATGTTGCTCGCTCTGTTGTCCGAATCGATCACCACAAAACCACTTGAATGTTTCCCCAGAGTAATAAAATTCTTCAATCATCTTAATCCCATCATTAACAACATTTTTAATTACAACAACTTGCAAAAGAATCTTAATCATCTTTATTTATAATTCTTGTAAAAATAAAACATCCTCAATGCCAATATTCATGTCGCTATTGTGAAATTTCTTTGTACTTAAAATTCATCCACGACTTTGCATATTCAGATGTTCAACATTAATCAACGTGTGAGGTTCATGTGAATGCATCTTCAGCGCAGCAAGTGATGATGTTAAACTAGCCTAATAGATTCACCCAGAAGCATTGTAAGACCATATAAAGGTCATTACAGTCATCAATGATTTGTTTTTCTGATGCAATTCTTATACATACATTTGTGAAGAGAACTTAAGGGGCCCCCATTTGAGCCACTGCTGAGAAAAAAAAAAATGAAAAATTCGAAGAAAACAGAAGACATGTCGTGATGCTACGTTTCTCAAAATTTGTCATAATTAAAAAGCTGCGATGATCAAATTCGTCAGTTGATCGACATTGAAAATGTGTTTTGCACGACTTTTTTCTGTGGCATTTCTGACAATATTAAGCACGAAAAATAAGCGAGAATTAATAATATTGTTCGTTTTTAAATTAAGTTAATTTATAGAGCATTAAATTATAAAAATTAAAAATGGTGATTTTTTGCTTTATAATATTTTTAATAAACTTGTAAATTTTTCAAATCAAAAATGCAGTATATTTAGAAATTTATGTGCTTTAATTTATGACTTTATATTTTGCTAGTTGGTTTCATCTTACATTGATCAAGCATTGAAATTAGCAGGTGGATAAATATGATTGATTTATGTGATCTTCAACATTAAGACATTAATTGTTTATTTGATAATTAAATCATAAATCATGGTTGTTTATGTTCTGAAGACAAATTGCATCAGAAAATGACATTGTTGAGTTTTACAAGAAATCATTTTGAAATTTCAGAAAATCATTTCGGGCAACAATTTCAATTAACAAATGTTTTTAAGTCGCATAATTGTTTTACATCAATTCATCCTAATTTAACTTGATTTAATTTCATAAATTCATCATGCTGTCAATCCTCAAATAATTTTGAATGTAAATATTCTCATTAAATAAAATTCTGCATGTTTAAAATTAAAATTGTTCATTAATTAACATTTAAATTTATGCTATAATAAAATATTATTAAAAATACTTACAATACCAAATTTAGATGAATCAAGAGGAATAAAATCATAAGCACAAATATTTAAAGAGATTGTCAACTACCATAGATTCTCTTACAAACGCAGATTACCAAAGCTCTTTTTATTTTTTCAAATTACTCAATCCTTTCAAAATAAATAAATTTAAATGGAACTTTTTCCATTGCATTTTCAAAGCAAAGCTCGATGTAAAAGTTGTTTCGTGCAAAATGGCACCGCTTTATAAACCAACAGAATTGATTTTAAACCGTCATTAATTTGAATTATTGTTATTATTAATTCTACCTTAACGTTAGCTTTTCGATTCATTATATAGAGATGATCACTACTTACTATACTTATGATCGCTTTACTAGTCGATACTTGATATTGTATAATTTAAAGCTGGAATTTGAATTTTTTATGAATGGAAATTCCATTTCTTATTGAAGTTTTATTGTTTTTGTAAATATTTTAAGGAATTTATTAACAATTTAGATTCAAAAATCGAGTCAGAAATTGCTGCAAACTAATCAAAATCTGACAAAATTATAATTTTCTTGAGACCTTAAACTTCAATAAGAAACACTCAATTTGCCATACGTTCAATTAATTATTTATCCAACCTATCGATCAACCGATTCAATCGATATAGAATTGTATTTTGTGCTGACTAAACGTTGTAATTTTCTTTCCTTCAGTACCTTTCAACTGACGCAATTATAGGACTGATTTATACGATCTCGTCTTAATTGTATCTTGCAAGTGGCAATTTGTGATCTTTGAAAACGTTTTTGAAGGTAAAGAAAAGATGCGATTTATCAAGAAGTTGAATTTGGTAATTGATAGGTATTGATTATTTTAATTGCTGGTACTTTAAAAGATCTCTGTGAAATTTTTGATATTTAGATGCTGGTGCGGCCTTCGGATTTGTGATTTCAAGGGTCAGCAATTGATTTTTGATTTGTTATGTTTGTTGTGTGTTGCTAATGAAAACCATAATTAGTACGAAAATAAGATTTGTGGTAAAAGCAAAATAATTGTGGATAAAACCGTCAACATTTATAGTCTGTTATCCTAATAAAACAATTTCAATGTCATTTTGGTGACAAAAAGTTCATGTAAGGCTTTTAAAATTGTAGTTTTTATGACTTTCTTATGAAAGTTGCGGCAAAGTAAAATAACAAGTATGTGTCAAGCCTCACGTAGAGATGCAACTTTTTTGATGCAATTTGATATTAAAATAAACTTTTATGATTAGTTTATTTATGTTAGTCGTAAATGGAATGTAGGTGATATTTGGCATGCGTTATTTATGCATGGTTTTACAGCTTAGCGATGTAAAAATAATTGCAGTAAGTCGTAAACCTTTGATTTCTTGAGGATTATCTCTACAATCTGAAATTTCGAAATAAAATTATTTTTTTAAAAATTAAAATATGGCATTTGATGCACAAAGATAATTCCCTAAAAAATATTAAATTTAATTACAAATCTACTTAATCTCTCGCAAGACAAATCTTGTAATTTAATTCACTTAAGAGATCTGCGCAAAAATGAGAAATGTTAAGGCATAAAATCTACAGTAAATAAATCACATTCGATTAATTTTCAACTTAAATTTTTATATTTCCATCAATTAATTACA